ATAGTGGGTAAAACATTGTAGGTATGCATTTTCTAATATTTTTGCAACCCAAGATGCAGCTAAACATAATTATATTCAAATGGCTTCGCTCTATTATTTCTAAGACTATAGGAACTGAAGTATATTGTTATGCTTTCCACTGAATGACTGAGTCATATAGCTGAATTATAAATGTTACTCTTTGATCCAATGAGAGGTTTGTAGAATGTAGCTGGGTGAGGCCTTCTGGCACCTTGGTTCAGCAGATCTGGGGTGGAGACCACACTCTGAGAACCTGTCCTCTAGCTGTGAAATACACACTAAGTGTCCAACCTTGGAAGGGTGACTTCATTTGTTACAAATGGCAGTTTATATGGCCTGGGAAGATCTGAGTGTATTTCAGCCTAACATGTTTCATCATATCACTAAGGCAAAACCGACTAGCTGTTTACCAAGAGAGACATCTTAAGCCTTCTGTCACTCAAGTTTCTTCCAGGTTTAATAGCATTTTAACTTCATTTTTTTTTTTTCTTTCCTGTAGCGTTGGGGGTTGAACCCAGGGTTTTATACACATAGGCATATGCTCTACCCTTGCAACACACTCTTAGCCCCTATAGTATTATAGACCTGGTATTCTAGAATTCTTACTTCCTATTTCCCCCCCCACACCCTTTACTCCAACATTTCTTGAAAATCTGAGATGATCGTCACACTTTTCTGCTTCCTGGTAACTTCCCTAGAACTAAACCTTAAATTGGCATGTCTCATTTCTGAGAATTCTTACCAGCTGTATCAGCCAAAGGGCACTTGCCCCCAGCTAGTTTGTACAGGTTAGAAGAGGAGACTGGAATTGCCAAGCCAACTTCTGTACTGAGGTAATAACTGAAATGTTATAAGCCATTGTGTTTGTTATCTAGGTAATGTGAGGACTAACAAAGATTAAAATGTTTATACTGGAATTAAAAGAAGTTTGAGGGGCGAGGAGAAGGCCATACAAGTAGGAAGAGATTCTATTCCATTTTTAGACCAGGAAGCAATTTGTTCAGATTCTGCTTGCCCTAGAGAAGACAAGTTTCCTTCCAGGGTGGTGGAAAGATGCAGGAAGGGGAATAACCATGGCAACCTGCCCAGCTATGTGGACCATGATGGTATTGGGGCCCCAGTGTCCTGACCTAGTCACTAGTTTAGTCTGGGGGGGGGGGGTCCCTCCCTGTCTCACTTCCTTGGCTAGAATGCTGACTTTAGGAGAAGAATCATTCTTTCTCTGTAGGGAGTCTGAGAAAGTGTGGGTAAGATTTAAGTGAAACCAGAGGTCATTCTGACCAAACCAAATAGCAAGCTTCCATGCTGAGAACAGGGAGTAACTGTCTGTTCTAGCGTGAACACAAGCAAATGCACAGGCTTTCTGAGTATTGAGTACTTGAATGATTAACGCTTTTCAGATAGGTGGGTGGTATTCTGTTTTCATTAAGAAATTCTTTATTTGCTTTCAGAGTCCACAAAGACACTTAATTGAGTTGTTCAGAGGGCAGAAACAAGCAGGCAAACAGAATAAAGTATTATAAGGATGTAGATTAACTTATCTTCCCAGCAACCCTACGTACTATTGTTCTTCTCCAGATAAGAAAACAGAATCACTGAAAGGTTATTCTGTATACCCAAGGTCACTTGACTAGCCGTTGCGTAGATGCTTGTAACCAATGCCCAACTGTGCCGTGTTGGCAGAAGGAGGGACAGCCGCTAACATATGAGTACACAGATGGCTAAGCCTTTAAGATATCCAGCACCATTTGTACTTCTAATCAGAAGTCTGGGCGTAGTCTCTAACAGGAGACCTGGTCATTTGTTTTACTCTGATTGATACGATTAACCCAGTAGGATATCTTACAATAATTTAGGTTTCCCTTAAACACACTTATCTGACGTGAACACTGTGTTATCTAAATGAGACCTGGGCCAACTTTTCCAATTCAGAAACAGTACTTCAACTTTATAACAATTACAAATACAGGGAGAGCAAAAACAAAACAAACAGCAACAACAACAAAAAAAAACATGTCCTGCCACTCAGGTGTTTTATATTGCCAATCTGGTTCCCATTCTTATTCTGTCCAGTGTAGGGAGACTTAAATTGTAGGCTACCTCACCCCCAAGGCCAGTTCCCATGCCAGTCATCCAGCTGGGGCAACTTATGCCACTAATAAACTCCCTTCAGCAGCCTTTTTACACATTCCAGCATCCTAGCTCTGTCTCCAAGAAAAGCAATGATGGACTGAATCACACAGTGCTTTCCCAGCTAGCTTGATCAAAGTGGTGGCAGGCTTAGGCTAGGAGCAACTTCCTCGGTGGTCTCACCAGGAGCAGTTCCTCACAAAGCTTCCTGATAGCCACCAGCCACCCAGTGAGTTGTTTTCCTGCTCTTTTAAGTTTTAGGGAACTTATGGCTGAGCAAACCAGGGCAGTGGCTCCCAAAGGCCCTTACACCATCACCATGCCAACAAGTATTTTAAAAGTAGTATCCCCTCACCTCCAACAAGCAGACTGGAATCCATCTAACCCCTGGAGTAAGACAAGAAACAGGCTCAAATGACGGGAATTTAGACTTTTAGTTTAACCCTGAAAATTAAAATAAGTTTTTATCAGAAATATCAACTCTGAGTTGGGTGTGGTAGTGCTTGCTGGAATACCAGGCTAAGACTGGGAGTTCAATATCAGCCTGAGAAGAGATACGCACTGGGAGTCTGACTTAAAACACCAAAAGAAAAAAAGGAAAGAAGGGAGAGGAAAACCAAAACCAACCAACCATCCAAAGCAAGCAAGCAAGCAAACAAACAACTGACCTCTGGATTTTGTTCTGTCTTCCCAATCAGCAGGGCCTGAAAACAGTGCTGTGGTTTTCTTTGCAGCCTCCTTCACATCCTCAGGTGGAGATACCTGCTGTGGTGTCAGCATCTCCAGTTCTATAAATACTTGTGCGCTAGAGGGCAAAGGTGGATGGCATTCCTCCCATTCCTGCACTCTCCTGGTTAAAATGGCCTCTTAGCTAGGTGTGGTAGCCCCCACCTACAATCCTAGCCCTCAGGAGGCAGAGGTGGGAGGATGATGGGTTTAAATCTCAACTGAGGTACAGAGTAATGTCATCTAATCAGGGATTAGGGAAGCTGCTCCTCCTCCGTGGCTTGCTAAGCACACCCAAGATCCTGGGTTCCTTCTCTAGGATTTCAGGTGAAAGTCAGGGAGCTCACTAGTCTAGGAACAGACAGTTTCTAGGGTAATAATTAGACAAAAGGGCTTGAGTTGGCAGTATGGAAAGAAGGGATTTGTTATTAGTAAAAAGTAGGGCAAGAATCCAGGGAGCTTTAATACAAAGTGACTAAGAGCATGAAGAAGCGGTCTGAGTCTGACCTGCACATTGAAAGAGATCCCTACACCGAACTGGTGCTTTCTCAAGGGCTCTTGCTTCCCTCCCCGTCTGAGTTGCATTCACTGCACCATCACTCTTTCCAGAGAGATAGCTGTTTTCCTCAGGAAAGCCTGAATCCCCAACACTCCAGGATTCTCAAGCTAGTCAGCTCCTTTCAGCACTGCTGTGCCTTGCCTCAATTCAAGGGAATGGAGAGAGGTAGTTTCCTGGGTGGGTGGGGCACGGAGCTAGAAGAGTGGCAGCCTAACCCAGGACAAGAGAACACCATGACAAGTCATTTGGTGGCAGCGAGTCCCAGATCAGGGCTAGTCCCAAATCCGGGCTAGTCCTTTCTTTCTGAACAGCCAGCTGCTGCTTCTGTGTGCCCAGCCCAGGCCTCAAGACTGTAAGAAGGACAGATTATACATCCCATCAGAGCTATTCCAGGAGCCTCGTCAGCTACCCCCAAGGCATTTTGGCAAATTTTCTGCCATTATTTAAGTAGGAGTTGTATCTGCCTCTGTCCTCCTCCACTCTCCTGCTTTGCCTGATTAGGGCCAGAAATTTTTTCATCAAGTCACTTTATAGAGCAACAGCAACATTTACTATTCATGAAGTTGCCCCTCCAGAATTTTTAAATCTTTCCATGTGTCTGGAGGCTCGTTTCTGCGAGTCTCGGTTTACAGAGTGGCTACCTTCCTTCCAAACACAGGCTAAGAAGAAAGAGGAAAGGGTGGGGAGGGGGCCAGGGTGGAGATAACATCCAGAGTCTTTAAGTGTTTTTAATCCAGTTAAATTTCCCTTTGGATTCAAGCATCTTCCATCTGAAACCGACCACAGAGCTAGGCTCGGGATTAAGTGAAGAAGGAGAAAGGGCAGGAAGAAATAACAGAATCAGCTCCGAGCTGCAAAGAAAACCGCTATATTGACTGGGGAGCCAACGTTTTAACACATTTTTCTTTTCGTCCCTTTTCTCGAATTCTTACTTAATCCTTCCAACTAGCTTACAACAATCAAGAAAACAGCATCTAAACGTTTCAGAGATTTTAAACAAGTTTGTTAAGTCGCTTGGGCAGATACTTTCCTAGGAACGCTGGTGTACGACAAAGTTCACATTTTTAATGCCCCTGTGCTGTCAGTCAGCAGAAAATAGCTCCTCGGAGGCACAGACCACGTCCCCAGCCTTTGTCACAGGGCAAAACTGAACACCCTTCAGGAGTTAATTAAGGTGGTCAGCAGTCACACCAGCTTCTTCTCCTGGATGTCCCCAAAGCCCTTAAACACCAGGGCGCTTACATACAACACACACACACACACACACACACACACACACACACACACACACACACACACACACACACGGAGGGAGCCGTTAAATGTCCCAGGATGGGCGTCTGGAGTCCGACCCCAAAGGTAAAAGGCATCCCTTGGAAGCATTCCACAGATGTCAGGCCACAAACCCGCTGCTCTCCCCCGAGTACACTGTCTCATTTGTAAGATTCCCCACCGCCCAAGGTCTGCAGCCAAGATAGGGGTGGGAAGAGAGGAGCCAGCAAAGGAGAGAAAGAGGTCGCCAAAAAATGGAACCAAAGGGAAGGAGGATGGCAGAGCTACTCACGAGCTGACTAGTGCCTGCGCGGAGCCAGCATGACTTCCCGGCGTCCTGAGCCTCCAGGCTGCAGCGCCGAGGACACGGTGGGTTCCGCTTAAATAGCCGCCGGCCGGGAGCCTCAGAGCCGAGGCCACTCCCGGAGAGAGAGAGAGATATGGTTCTAATCAGATGCTGGCAGCTGAGGACTCCCCAGGAATGTGGCGGGATGTTTTTGCTGCCTGGGCTTGGTAACTCCCCCTCAACGTGTCTGAGGAGTCTTCCAAACTTAACTGTTTATTAACTCGGGCTGCAGCGACCTGCGCCTCCTGCGCTCCGTGAGCCCGCCGGCTGGGGGCGATCGCAGAGGCCCGGAGTAAGGACGGTGCACACAGCCCGGGCCACGAGCGCCACGCCGCCTCGGGCCAGGAAGGGTGCACATAAGGACAGGAAAAGGGAAACTGTGGAGGAAAGGGGTGGGGAGTTGCGTTTCACGGATCCGTTCCCTGGATTGCCACTTCAAGTGGCGTGGCACGCGAACTCATCCTAACCCGCCTGGGCCTTTCGAACAAAGAGGTGCCTGTATTTATTCCCTACTTGGGAAGGTGGGTCCCAGGTCGGATCTGTCTTTCTTTCCTAAAGCTGAGCGTGTGCCTGGATTGTAACCTATAAAGAAATCACTGTTCTTTAATTGCGAATGAGGATGTGTTTAAATAGGAGGGAAACTTATGTGTGCCCGTGGAAAAAGATGCACGTATATTGAAATTCAACACCGTGCGTGACCATATACTCTCCGTTAAACGGGCCTACATGAAACAAGTTAGCATCCATACAGTCCATCTCAGTGTTCTACATGTGTGATATAAACAAGTTATATGTTGGACATTTTTTTCACTGTGTACCCACCCACACGTAGATAACATGACTTTGTCTGCTAGTTTCTACAGCATTTCTTATCCCAGCATGAAAAACATGAGACGGGAGAAGAGATGTTGAAAAATGTCTCCATCAATGCTCAACTGTGGATGGCCTGGCGGAGCAGACCTCTGGAATCATACAGAATCTTTCGATTTCTTTTCTGCATATTTTACAGTCAGGGATAATTGTCAAATATCCAGAGAAACAATGCGCTGTTTAAGGACTTAGAAAATTACACTTTTGGAAAGACCTTCTCTCTTTCCTTCCTCTTCCTCCTCTCCCTCCTTCTCCTCCTCTTCTCTGCTTTCTTAATTTTAAAAATTATTATTCCTCCTCTTGTCTGTTTCTCTTCTCCCTCTTCCTCTCTTTCCTTCCTCTCTCTCTCCCTCCTCCCCAACCCCTACCTCTGGGAAGCAGAAAGCACTGACTATGAAAATGACAAATTGTGACTTGGATGGAATGGGTTATTGATTGTATTGACTAAGCAACACAATGGATTCGCATCTTACCACTGAGAACCAAGGGTTCAAATTGGACTTATGGCACACCAAGGATGTATTTTGTGGTCCATGCCTAGCCCCAGCTGCAAAGCCACTGTGTAATTTGAGGTACCTCAATGTGAGTGGCAGTTTCTGCTTGCAAGTAGGTCAGGCTTGGAACAACCCTTGTGCAGGGAGAGCAAGGGATACAGAACAGCACAGCTGGCCAGGGTGCTGCCCCTCCCGGACCTCTGCATTCTCTCCACACCTGGGTATGCAGAGGAGAGGGGGTGGTCTTTCAATATTCCTCTGAGGTAATTTTCTATGATTGAAAAAAAAAAAGTCTTTCTGTGAATGACAAGAGGTCTACTTTTAGTTCCAAGGAGATATAAGACATAGTCGAGAGCTTCAGTTCTGTTAACTCTGAGAATATCACACTTTGTTTCTAAAATCCAGAAGTCTAGAGGACCTGTTTCATTTCAAAAGGCTCAAAACTCAGGAACAAAAAGGTAGTTCATTCAAGCAAACAGGGGCCTTGATAATACAAAAGAACCAGACCTGACAGAAAGGTGTGTTATTTCTCAACTTAGAAGTGCCCACCTTATATCACTATCTATACAGTTCAAAGACTATTGCCAAGATAGTTAGCTTGCGCTCACTGAAAGGAAACCAAAGAAGAAAATAATTTCATCTGCTGTGAAGTGCAGTGTGGAGAGAAGATGTGGATCCAAATAGCTCATTTGTGAGCAGTGGGCTCCAAGTGGCTGCTTAAAACGGACACCCTTGTTTTATACAGAGCTCTAAAGAGCCACAGTGGGGAGTTCTGGTTTGAAGTGTATTTTTATATCTCTAGGGTGCTGATATTGGTCTTGGCAGTAGCTCAATGTCCTGCTCACATTATGTAGTGAGGAAAAAAGAAATAAAAATAAATTTAACTCTTTTTATCCCTGGAGGTGCTGTTTCCTGTCTCATTGAAGTTGTTAACCCTTTGGTAAGTCTAGAATGAACATCTCCACATAAGAAAAAGCAAAGCAAAACAAAAACCCACAAACCAACCAACCAACCAACAAAGCCTAAGCAGATGTTCATCTGTGTAAAGCATGCTTTTATTTTTTTTATCACCACCAAAATTTGTTTAGAAAACTAAGGTAGGAAAAAAATTAAATGCAGTGTTTTAAAAACCATGGTATCCACATAACGATTGTCGCTTGCACAAAACCTGCCTGTGGTGGGGTGGGGTGGAATCTGGACTGTGCTCTCAGTCTAGAAAGGGGTAGTTAATCCCGTGACAGCTTGCTGAAGAATGCAGAGTTTATTATTAAAGTAATCTCTTAAGATTTTTCTGGAATGTGCTTCCACAGCAGCTCTGCCTATGCAGGCTATCCAATGTATGTCTTTTCTTCCATGATTAAACTGTCAATTCTTAGCTCAAAAGTCTAGCCATTTCTGTCCTACACCTCACTCCTGCCCCTTCCTGCATTGGCCTTACTTAAACCACCCATTTTGAATCTTGTTGTTTTTCATGAGCTGTAAATGGTACTCTGGAATTGGCGTCTAGGAAACTGTACACTTTGACACTTGTTTGACACATAGAGATGTTCTAACCAATTAAAGTAAGCTTGGCAAGATGTCTGCAGTTCTACCTACTCCAAAGGCTGAGGCAGGAGGATAATTAAGTCTGAAAGGAAAAAACATACTGAACAAGAGTTGGCTCGGTAAGATGTTTCCTTCCTCTTCCCCATATAATTTTTTTTTTTTAATAAAGGCTGTCAAATGAGAAGGGGAAAGAAAAGAAGAATGAGAAGAAGAAGAAGAAGAAGAAGAAGAAGAAGAAGAAGAAGAAGAAG